TGTGTGGTTCATTAGGATATTGACGGAAATGCTGAATAACGCAGATGAACCACTTCTGGCCATTGTTCCTTCAGCCAAAATGGTCATACTTTGGGCAATGGGCTGTGTCCAATTCTTGGTTCTCCATTAAGGAACTGAATTAAAACCAGGAACTTATTTCTTCTGGGCCACTGCGCTATTGTTAGGGGTCAGTCACTGCTCATCGGACTGGATAGAGAACTGAAAATAAGAAATGTTTTATTACAATCCCAGAAAACCCTCGAACGACGCCCTCCCCCAGCTACCACACTCTAGAAAGCAAGTCATTACAAGGCACCATAATTAAAGAAGTGCCTCACACTGACCTTGTCACTCGATTCTCTGAAACACAAATGGTTTGCAGCGTCAGTCAGCTTTTGATTTGTGGTGTCTTTGAAAAACAATTTGAATTACGTATTGGAAAGACGCCAGGAGACCCATCTGCTGAGAGTTTGTCTTTCTAAATTGGGTGCAGTGGGTAGCGCGGAGGGGAAGCGACACACCTCTCTCATGCATATTTTCATGAGCCTCCTCGGTCTCTGGAGAATCCACCCAGGCACTGGTAAATTGTGTCATTTGTGGGAACACAGCGACAAGCCCCTGAATTGGAAAGCAATACAAATTTAGCAAGAAAATTGTTTTCCATTAAAAGGGGCCCCTGCTTAGTTCCTGTGTCCAATATAAAGTTAGCGAGAGGGATCAAACAAACAACATCAAATGCCAATCCAGAAGCCCTACTTTCTTTTGTTACTAAATCAATGTACTACCTGGTATTTCTTATAGTTCATTGCACAGCGTGAGATGGAATTGTAGCATGTCTGTGAGGAAAGGGAAAATGGAATGAAAGGAGGGAAGAGAGGACATAGAAGAATCTGGACTAGAGTAGCTTTTCTGTCTGCCTCCCCACTGCAAACCAACATTGGCAGTAATATTGAGAACGTACTAAGTGCTTTCTGTGCATCTCATATAGATCATCTCCTTTATTCTTAGGAAAATCTTATTATTTTACTTTGTAGGAGAGGACGATGAAGTTTAGAAAGACTGATGCATTGGTCTCAGTTTCCCCAGCTAGTTTTCCATAGGGAACGTACATCCTTCATAGAAACTTCTCCGCCCTCTCCCCACCTAGCAGCTATTCTTGCTTTGGCAAAAGCAGAAAAATAAGAAAGGAAGTGAACGTAGGTGTGGACTATGCCTGTTGGAAATGGGGAAATAGGATTGAAATAGGAAGAAGGGCATGGAAATGCGAGAAGAAAGAATTTGTCAGGTTATCTGATGTTTTCATCTTCAGGGGGGTTAACTGTAGTTGCAAGGTGATAAAGTAAAACATTAGATGAAAAGTGTACCTTTCATATAACACATTGCTTTTCTCCATTTCAAGTCCAGAAAATGCCCTTTTTTACCCACTGAGAAAAATCTATTTAAGTTGCATGAGGTACTTGTCTGACATCATCACTGTAGAGAACTATTCTGCTTAGGAACTTCCATTGAGCTACCTGTATACTACCATTATGTTCCCTTGATGTTTATGTTCACTTACCTAGAATCATAATTTTCCTAACATCATGATGCTTATTTCTAAAAATTTTATTTATTTTTTTGCTACAGTGAATTTGAAAATGTTTTCTTTTTCCTTCAAATAAAATCATCTCTTTATTGTTTGCAGATTATCAAGTATAGTTGAAGTAAATATACACTTGAAAGGAAAAAAAGTTATTGGATCCTAAAAAAAAACATTTTGGAAAACATTGTTCACAACTTTAAATAATTTTTCATTGTTTGCTAAATTCAATATTACAGATAAAGGGCTTTAGTTAAACTGAAGGCAATAAATCCAAAGGAGAGGGCTCACAGTTTTAGCCAATGTGATCGATGAATTGAAAGCAAATACCATCAACCACGCTAATTTTTATTTGTTCTGTAAATAATATACAATAGGACTGGAAGAAAGTAAACTCCTTTTTACAGTTTGCCATTTTTCTCCTTCCTTTCTTTTTTTCCTTTTTGCATAAATGCCTTCCTTTAACGTTGACAATAATCAGGTAGCATGGCTCAGAGGCGGTTCCTCTGTATTATAAATATCAGATATGTCATTAAAAATATCAGATTTCTAGATTAGAGTGCCAGTTATTACTTTTTTAGGAAATTCTCTAAAAATTATAGGTGGGTATCATCTGTGGATACATTTGGATATGCCCAATCTGTGTCTGGCTTTAGCTTTGACCTTTAGTTTTTTGTTATTCAGAAAGCCTCAGCTGCCTAAGCAGTTGCTCCCATCTTATATTTAATTGATGTTTCTCAATCTGAAAATTTAATATGCTAACACATGCTCTGACCTTTCTCCATTTAATATTACATTTTTTGTAACCCATAAATTCTCTATGCCTTCCTCTTCTGAGCATGCTGCTGTGAAGTGGCTTTGGTGACAAAGCAGTTTAGGCATTAAAAGAGTTTATTATAAAGAGTCCTGGGTTTTACTAGCTGAATAATTTTTTGGTAGACTACTTCTCTGAGAGATACTTTCCTTTTCTGCAATATGGGAATAATCATAGGTTGTTAAATTCAGTAAAGTAGTATATGAGAAATTGCTTAATAAATTTTAAAAGGAAATGTAAGCTGATAGAAATGTAAGGTGATATTAATGCTGGTATTGGCTTTTTTTTTTTTTTTTTTTTTAAGGCATTCATTCCAAACCAGAGAGACTGGCAATTTTTTTTCCTTTAAGAGAGCTCCCCAAACACCACCATTTAGCATTAACTACTACTTTGTGACCCTACTGTACTTTGAATCTACCTCTAATATTAAATCTACCTCTTTGAGTATGTGCCCACAGTGCAGAGACAAATTAAATACATGTTTACATCCCCCATGGACTCAGTTCCTTGCTAGGCAGAAAGGGTGATCTCGGTCACCATTTTATCCTTAGCATCTAGCACTGAGATTTGTCAGTTGTAAGTTCTTGCAAGTCCCTTTGAATTAGATTTAATTCAAAAGACTAAAAAGCAGGAATTCTATGTTCTATTCTTTCGCTTGATTTTCTTAGATGAAGTGGAGGTTTGCCTTTCTAAAAGAATAGTTTACATTGGGCCAAATGTTTACTGATTTTTATGAAAAGAGCAAATGGTAGGAATTAATTTGCATTCATGTGACTTCTTTTCATGTTTATCATAATCTTTAAAGAAAGGAGGAGTTGCTGATGTCAACTTGCTTTGCTGTTTTCAGTATGGAAAAAATTGCTTTTCAGTTATATGTTATGAACAATTATCTTTCTTCCTTAAAGAATATTGTTGAAATTAATAATAGCAAAGTCTACTTTTCCCCCAACAAGGTACAAACGAATTAGAAAGTACTTTAGGAAATTCAATTTTAAGAAATATTTTATATTAATTTTAGGATATAAAGAAATTTGAAAAGTAAGTTTGGATCATTGAGTGTAATTTTTTTTCTGACTTTCTTTTAAATGTGATTATTATTCCTAATAACTACCTTTACTCAATTCCTCTTTAAACATTTAAAAAGCATTAGTACATTGATTTTTTTCATAAGATTCTGTTAAAAAATAATTATTATTCTTTTAAAAAGTTTGTTTTCTGTTACTTTTCATTTAAAAATTCCTCTTCCTGGGAATTCTCAATGTAATTTTATTCCACCTTTTTTTTATTATGGGAAGATATACTTAACATAAAATTTCCCATATTAAACATTTTTAAGTAGACAGTGGATTAAGTATATTCACATTGCAATCAAACTATAATTCTTTCATCTTTCCAAACTGAAACTCTGTACCCATTAAACAGGAAATCCTCATTCCTCCTTCCCTTGGTCCCTGGCAACCACCTTGTTCCTTTCTGTCTCTCTGAATTTGATGACTCCAGGTACATCAGATACGTGGAATTGTACATTTGCCCCTTTGTGTCTGGTTTATTTCATTTGGGGTATTGTCTTCAAGGTTCACCCAGATGTGAACTTTGTATAACGTGTGTGTAATAATGTGTTATTACATATATCAGAATATCCTTCCCTTTTAAGTCTGAGTAGTCTTCCACTCTATGAGGTCTGTCCAGAAAGTATCCAGCCATTGTTAATATCAAGGTAACGAGCATATATTACATGGCTGGATATTTTCTGGACAGACCTCATCTGTTAATACCACATTTTATTTATCGGTACATCTGTCGATGGGCATTTGGACTGTTTTCACACATTTAAAAAATTTCCCAGTCATGTAATGCTTTTAAGATTGTAGTTTTAGCAAGTGGAAGATGCCTTAACAAATACAAATTTCACCTAGTCCTTTGACCTTTTTACATTAGAGAGAGCATAGGGTGCGGCCAGGCCACTGGCACGGGAGCCAACGCTGTGGGCTCCAGTCTTGACGGTAGATCACAAGCCGTGTGACCTCCAGTAGCTTATTTTGCCTCTCAGGGACCAGGTGTCCGTGTTTTTACAATAGAAATAATAATCGCATAGCAGTAGCTGCTGTGAATGCTGAATGAAGAAGTGACAGTTCTGCGTGTGAGAGGGGTGTGACAAACCAGGGCCCTTCCTGATGGCACCACTTCAATTTATTTAAACGTATATGGGCCAAGTGCTCTGATCAAGGCATTGTGTAAAGTGTTCTAGCATATTCTAACAGGGGGCATAGTCCTGCTTCTTTGGGGTACTTAGGCTTGGGGTGGGAGTGATGTAGGAATTAGTGAGCACAATAAAGCAGAATATAATTAGTGTCATTAAGACTGATTATAAGGTACAATTTTTTAATTGTGATTTTTTTTATTTTTTGAGACAGTGTCTTGCTCTGTCTCCCAGCTGGAGTGCAATGGTATAATCATAACTCACTGTAGCCTCAAACTCCTGGGCTCAAGTGATCCTCCTGCCTCAGCCTCCCCAGCAGCTGGGACTACAGGCCTGTGGCTAATGTTTTTAATATTATTTTTTGTAGAGACAGAGTCTTGTTGTGTTGCCCAGGGTGGTCTCAAACTCCTGGCCTCAAGCCATCCTCCCATCTTGGCCTCCCAGAGTGCTGGGATTACAGGTGTGCGCCACCATACCTGGCCTGTGAAATTTTTAATTGGGAGAGATGCTTTCAGAATATTGGAAATTGGGAAAGATTTCAGTGACCATAACAGCATGGTTATGTGGGTGTGTTTCATTTAATTCTTATGAAAAATATAGGTA